AAAAAAATTTCTGTTTATTTGTGTTGTTGGCATAGGGTTCTGCGTTGAACTGCTCGCGAAACACCCAACGATGAACATGCAGTATCTGCAGAACCTTTGCATGCTTTTTGGGTTGTCAAAATAATTTTCCTGATTTTTTCATTGATTGTAGACCATGCAAGACTGGATCTATGACAATTCCATTGAAAACAAAAATAAGACAGGGAAATTAAGTTCTAGAGGAAGCTTTGTAGGTGCACCGCTATCGCAAGAGATAGCGGGTGCGTGTATCTACATTGTAGGGTCAAATAGTCTTTTTTAACACAATTTTTCTGACACAATATGAAAAATATGTACATGTTTTTATTTTCCTGCAGCAACTACTTGCCCAAGAAGACGAGCGATGTGAGGAGTCGCGGTTGCAGGGCTAGGGCTTTTTTTTTTCAAGCATCAAGATCAAGGAAGAGTCACTGGTAAGTTTCACTGGGTATTCAAAAATTTTGTATCCAAGACCAATTCGAGAGATCGACAAGAGCTGTAAGATATTCTCCGATAGCGGCGCTATATTACTTTGGTTGTGCTGCCTACTTCCAGGACAGGCACGAGTGAATAGCTTTCCTATTGAAATCAGCCAAAATCATGATGCGTCATTATAACGAACGGTTCTAAAACGCTATCGAAAAGTGATTTAAAACATTGATTTAAATCAGTTTAAATAAGTGTTTTTGTGAGTATGGGGTTCCGTTGCGGATGAAATGATCAAATTAGCCGGCAAAAATTGAATTCTGTAGGATTTCGGCGTAAAAGACCGAAGTAGGTAGCACAACCTGAAGCTGGACCCGCTGAGCCAACAGCGCACGTCAACCAATCAGAAACAAGCATTTAATTCATTTAATTAACGCCCTCTAGCGGCCAAATTTATTGTCAATCCCCCAATTTCATCATTCCCAATTAGGCCACTTGTGGTGATGGTGACATGACTAACAAAAAATAGATAATGGACCCTTTTTGGAACTTGATACTTCCCTTACTGGAATGTAATCCCTTCTTCCATAGCGGTGTAACCTACTAAATTTGATGAATACCATCTGTAGTTTTTCCTATTAAATGCTGTTATAATTCTTGGTTTATATAGCCTTGTCTTCATTTTCTATTTTTCTCTAACCCTTTTAGACATGCTGACCAGAAGAAGACATTGTGGTGTTGGAAAACCCAACCCCCTTGAGGTAGCAGCACAATACACAGAAAAGAAAAGGACCCTCCTCACTTCATTGTCAAGCTGTTTGAGAACAAAGGTAAGCAACATCATTTTTTAATTCATAATTAAGTTTCATGGGGCTGCTACAAGTTTAGGTCGTATACTGTCCAACAATATTTGATTGATGTCACAGCAGAAACATAACTTAACAACATAATTTGCATATTTTGCACATTCATTTCAACTCAAGTTCTTTTGTTTTATGCCTCCGACATGAAGTGGTGCCGGAGGCATTCTGTTTTTAGGTTATCCGTCTGTCCGTCCATATTTCTTCTTACCACGATAACATAAAGGGATGTACATGTATACCTGGTGTTCTAGAAGGCGCTGTTCGATGGCATGTTGTGCGCCGCCAATTTATCCCGAAGATTGACCAGGCATATTTACATACATCATTTTTTTACTGTTTGGAACATGGCATTGTGTAAACACCGGTATGATCGAATAACATATATTGGTGTCAATGGCAACTCACACCGTCTGTCCGAGTACACATTGTCAAGATATTCTGACAAAATTAATTGTACTGATCAATTGGCACTGTGATTTTTGGAAACATATAAATTCCTGCCATTTCCATCTCAACATAAAAGAAATAGAATAGTGAATCTGGCATAAGAAAATCAGACACACTTCTTGGATACTTTTTGTAATCCTTACTTCCTCAAACTCTACAATGTACAGACCTGCAAACCCAACTCTTGGAGGGTGTCCAAAATGAAAACAGTGAGAAACAAAACAAATTGAGTTGAGCTGGACATCCTTATTTACTACATATAGAGTATATAGGGACAATGTCTAGATGTGCGCCTGAAAGTAAATTGCACGAAATAAATTGCAAATCAATATTTTGTTGAAGATGACTTTCAGCTGTGACGTCAACAATCAACTATCGTTGTTTAGAGGTACCATAATGTTGGTGTAATGATGTCTTACTGTAATTTTTCTTACAGGAAGAGGGATAGTGGCACAAAGAGACATCTCAAAAGGGGAGTTTTTGTTGGAGTACCCAGGCCAACTTATATCTGCCCAAGAAGGCAACCAACGTGAGGAGGAGGAATCATCTGGTTTTCGTTTTTTTTTTAAGCATCAAGGACAAAGCTACTGGTAAGTTTGCACGTTTTATTCCTATTAGGAGATTATGAAACGGGCACTGTCCATCCGTATGTGTACTACCTATTACTTTTGGATGGTTCGTCCTATCATTACCAAATTTGAATGGTAGATGCATTAGCTAGGGAGGCCTATACATTTTAGTGTGGTCAAAGGTCACTCAGACTTTGTGTACAAAATGTTAAATTTGTACATAAGATGTTAAATCTACATATTACTTTTGGATGGTTCATCCCATCCTCACTAAAGCTGGATTTGGGGGTCATGCGGTCAAAGGTCATAGGGCAATAAATAGCTTGTGGTCGTGTTATCTCAAGAACCGATTGACGGATTCTCACCAAACTTGGCCCATGTATGTACCTTAAGGGGCCAATGATGAACTAATTCGATTTTTGGGTTATGAGGTCAAAGGTCACAGGGCTCATTATATATGCAATAAGAGCTTGTGATCACGTTATGTAATTGGGCTTAATATGTAAATCGCGCAATAGTGGAGGCATCATTTTCGACTGCGCGCAGTCGAACATCCATCTAGTTGAATGACATACAATATTGTACACTTTTCTTTGGAATACAGTCTTGATGCAACTGATGAGTGTGCTTTTGGGGATAGACTCGGCCGCCTCGTGAATCATGGACAAGGGAGGGAGGAGAACGCCCGAATGAAGATACTAGATATGAAGTCACATCCACACATGTGGATAATTGCTACAAAGAACATATCTAAAGGGACCGAAGTTCTGTACAATTATGGAGTTCGAGAACTGCCGTGGAAGAAAAAGGTAAAATTAATTTTGATAAATTTAGAGTATGATGGAAATTACAAGATTATTATCAGATGTGATAAAAGTCAAATTTTACCTTTTCATGTTTTTGCTTGTAACCCATGATAGACAAAGCAATACAAGTCATGTATGTGAGATTCAATTCTTTACCTCTAATACTAAAAATTGCCCCCCATGTGATATAGCTAAACTGATTACATTTTGGACAAGTTTCTACTCATTATTTGGCTTTATTCATCTAATTTCTAATTATTTTTCCCCTCAGCATTTCAGAGGACAAGTTCAAAGGGAAGAAGAAGAAGGAGAGACACAAGTCCACCAACAGGAAAGAGGGACTCTAGGACAACAACAAGAAGGAGAGATGCAGGTTCACCAGCAAGAAGGACAGACACAAGGACATGAACAAGAAAGAGGGACTCTAGGGCACCAACAAGGAGAAGACATACATATCCACCAACAAGGAGAGACGAGGACCACCAACAAGAAGAGACAGAGGACCACCAACAAGAACGAGGAACACAAATCCACCAACAAGGAGGAGATACACATGTCCACCAACAAGAAGGAGAGACAGAGGGCCACCTACATGAAAGAGACTCTAGGACACCAACAAGAAGGAGAGATGGAGGTCCACCAACAAGAAGGAGAGACAGAGGGCCACCTACATGAAAGAGAGACTCTAGGACACCAACAAGGAGGAGAGATGGAGGTCCACCAACAAGAAGGAGAGACAGAGGGCCACCTACATGAAAGAGAGACTCTAGGACACCAACAAGGAGGAGAGATGGAGGTCCACCAACAAGAAGGAGAGACAGAGGGCCACCTACATGAAAGAGAGACTCTAGGACACCAACAAGGAGGAGAGATGGAGGACCACCAACAAGAAGGAGAGACAGAGGGCCACCTACATGAAAGAGAGACTCTAGGACACCAACAAGAAGGAGAGATGGAGGTCCACCAACAAGAAGGAGAGACAGAGGGCCACCTACATGAAAGAGAGACTCTAGGACACCAACAAGAAGGAGAGATGGAGGTCCACCAACAAGAAGGAGAGACAGAGGGCCACCTACATGAAAGAGAGACTCTAGGACACCAACAAGAAGGAGAGATGGAGGTCCACCAACAAGAAGGAGAGACAGAGGGCCCCTACATGAAAGAGAGATTCTAGGACACCAACAAGAAGGAGAGATGGAGGTCCACCTACATGAAAGGAGAGACAGAGGGCCACCTACATGAAAGAGAAAACTCTAGGACACCAACAAGAAGGAGAGATGGAGGTCCACCAACAAGAAGGAGAGACAGAGGGCACACCTACATGAAGAGAGATTCTAGACACCACCACAGAAGGAGAGACAGAGGGCCACCTACATGAAAGAGAGACTCTAGGACACCAACAAGAAGGAGAGATGGAGGTCCACCACAAGAAGGAGAGACAGAGGGCACCTACATGAAAGAGAGACTCTAGGACACCAAAAGAAGGAGAGATGGAGGTCCACCAACAAGAAGGAGAGACAGAGGGCCACCTACATGAAAGAGAGATTCTAGGACACCAACAAGAGAGATGGAGGTCCACCAACAAGAAGGAGAGACAGAGGGCCACCAGCAAGAAGGACAGACACAAGGACATGAACAAGAAAGAAGACTCTAGGACACCAACAGGAGAAGACATACATATATACCAACGAGGAAAGACACAGGTCCACCAACAAGAAGGAGAGACTCTAGGACACCAACAAGGAGGAGATACACATGTCCACCAAAAAGGAGTGACAGAGGACCACCAACAAGAAAGAGGAACACAAATCCATCAACAAGGAGAGACACAAGTCCACCAAAAAGGAGTGACAGAGGACCACCAACAAGAAAGAGGAACACAAATCCACCAACAAGGGGAGACACAAGTCCATCAACAAGAAAGAGAGACTCTAGGACACCAACAAGGAGGAGATACACATGTCCACCAACAAGGAGAGACACATGTCCACCAACAAGGAGGAGATACACATGTCCACCAGCAAGAAGGAGAGACAGAGGGCCACCAACATGAAAGAGAGACACAAGTCAACCAACAAGAGATAGGGACTCTAGGGCATCAACAAGAAAGAGGAACACAAATCCACCAGCACAGGGAGACACAACAAGAAAGAGGGACTCTAGGACACCAACAAGAAGGAGAGATGCAGATTAATCAGCAAGAAGGACAGACACAAGGACACGAACAAGAAAGAGGGACTATAGGACACCAACAAGGAGGAGACATACATTTCCACCAACAAGAAGGAGAGACACAGGTCCACCAACAAGAAAGAGGGACTCCAGGACTCCAACAAGGAGAGACACAAGGACACCAACCAGTCGAAGGAGAGTTCAAAGGATTAGAACAATCTGAGCATCCACAAAACTGTGTATCTCCATCAAGTTGTTCCTCAGATGAGGAAGAGCAGTACACACGCCCAAGAAGGTTCATCTACCCTAACCTATCTAAATCATCAAGTGAACTCCAAAATCATTTTGACAGTGATGAATCTGACCTTGATCCAACATATCGACCAGAGGAGGGTAGCAACGAGGAATACAGCAGTGATGATGAGGCAACTCTTGAGATTCATCCAAGAAATGTTCAAGTGCGCAAGAGACCATCTTCTGTTATATCTACACCAGATGAAAAACCTACAAAGATTTATAAACAGTGCCTTCCAGGATCATTTTCAGGGCCAGAATTGCCACATCAGAAAACCAATGATAATATGGAAACGACACACAAACACGAGGACAAGAAAACAAGGTACAAGAAGCCATCAAGGCCATGCCCTTTCTGCAACAAAGCTTGTGGTGAAAAGCTCTCGAGACACATTTGTTTGGTACATAAGGATAAGGAGCAGGTGAAATCTGCCATGCAGCTGCCAAAGCGGGAGAGAGACAAGGTGTTCTCAAAGTTCAGGAAGGAAGGCATATACCAAGTAAATAGAGAACGTATGAAAGATGACAACCCCATTTATGAAAGAAAAGTTACCAAATCAGGGAATGATGACAACCTTAAAATGTGCAGTAACTGCAAGGGCTTTTACAGCTCACATTTCTTCTGGCATCACAGGAAAGTTTGCCAAGGTGATATATGCACTCCATCTGAAGGAGTACCAGTAAACCTCATGGAAGGGAAAGATCCAGTGTATCAAAAACACCCAGACTTTGTCACTGACATACTTAGTAGATTCCAGAATGATGACGTTGGGAATACGTGTAGAACGGACAAAGTGATAGTTAATGTTGGACATCGACTGTGGACTAAACACAGATCCAAAAAAGACAAGAAACTTGAAGTAAGAAAATCAGTTATGGCTGATATGAGAAGACTTGCCACCTTATACACTGAGTTTAAGAAGAAACACGAGGTTCATGGGACTGCAGATCTCACAATGGGACATGCTGGAGACATGTTCAGTAGAGAGCACTTCGAATCTTTGACAGAGGCAATCCAGACGCTCACTTATGATGAAACTGAAGGCAAACTAAAGCCAGGACTGAAACTCTGCTTGTACTTTGTGCTGAAAAAAGCTAGCAAAATCACTAAAGCTAGTTTTCTTGTATCCAGGCTAGATGAAGATGCATCTGAGATTGACAAGTTCGTAGAGATTCTTGACTTGAACCAGAATTTGATTTTTGGGGATGCACACTACGAAATCCAAAAGAATCGCCAAGTGCGTTTGAGGAAGCCTGCAGAGCTCCCGCTTGAGGCTGACATTGAAGCATTGAAGACATACACTCAAAAGAAAGTCACAGAAATCATCTCTGATGAGTTCCTGGTTTGGGATTCTCACACATTTGTAGAGTTACGAGATCTGACTTGCTCGCGATTGACATTGTGGAATGCAAGGCGTGGTGGAGAACCCAGCAGGCTTACAACCGAAGAATGGAGAGATGCAGAAGAGGGTGTATGGATGCAGAAAGACAAGATTCATGAAGTTAAAAATCCAGCCCATCAGGAACTTTTATCTCAGCTCAAGATATGCTACCAGACTGGGAAGGGCACTAATCGCTTGGTTCCAGTCCTGTTCCCAAGAGACACTGTGAAACCTGTGCAACTTCTATGTGATCAGGAAATCCGGCATACAGCAGGAATAAGACCTGATAATAAGTACATATTCGCTTGTACTCAAATGTCTCATGACCATGTTGGAGGGTGGCATGCTCTAAAGAATGTCTCAGACAACATCAGCCTTTCGTCCAACGTTACGGTGAATGCCACCAAGAACAGGCACAGAGTGTCTACAATTTACGCATCCCTCGACTTGCCTGATGCTGACTTGGAACTATTTTACCGGCATATGGGACACTCCTCTACAATCAATCAAACAATCTACCAGACCCCACTTGCCATCCAAGAAATCACCCGAGTAGGGAGTCATCTCCATCATATAGATATAGGAGGTAGGTAAACATTTATACAAATTTTGCATTGGTTCAATGTACCATATTATATGTACAGCAAATTTATGATTATCTCGAGTTCAGATTTATAACAGCGAGGCAGTAGTAATAGAAATAAGAGCTGATATAATTTTGAATTGGGATAGCATATAGGATAATAACATCGAGCAACAAAACAACCAGTAAATGATACACCCAATTGTACATTTATATGAAAACAATTGCAAAATATTGATGGAAAAAACTTGCACCATTTCATATTCCCAAATCTGAAGCAAACCTAACGCAGAAAACAAAAATGTTCATCAAGTGATATTTACTATTTATTTATTTCATAAACTCATTGTGTTTGGTATATATTTATTTTGTATTTGTTTGATTGCACTATTACAAATTTGTTAATTTGTTTATGCTCTCTCTCTCTTATATTGACTGTTGTTATATCGTGTATGCAAATTATTGATGTTCGCATTTTATATGTCTTTCCCTTCCCATAGGAATGAGGGCACGCAAAGAATCTGAAGCGTCTGATGACGATGGCTGCTCAAGTGCACCAGCGACCTCAAAGGATGGCTGCTCTACAGCACGGGTGAACTCTAAACATGACGACTCAACTCTAACGGTGACCTCTGAGGATGGCAGCTCAACTACACCAGCGACCTCAAAGGATGGCTGCTCTACAGCACGGGTGAACTCTGAGCATGGCAACTCAACTCTAACAGTGACCTCTGAGGATGGCAGCTCAACTACACCAGCGACCTCAAAGGATGGCTGCTCTACTACAACATTGACCTCTGGGGATAGGTCTTCAGGTAATATGAAAGCGAAGTGTTTTTTTTTTGTGCACATTGTTGCTTTGATATTAAACAGGGAGTTGTTCCCATTAACTCTGCAGTTCAACTATCACATGTGCTGAATTCATAGTTGTATTGTATTGTTGAGAATCATAGGCATGAGTTCAAAACTTGGTTCTTGTAGAATGAATCAGTTCATAAAGGTTTCAGCATATGATACAATGGAGATTCATGAAGAAAAAAAAAAGTAGTAGATTCATGCATTTATATGACAAATATTGGTGTAAAACTAATTGGATCTGCTCAGGAACGCAACACTGTATGGGAAAAGTTTATAGCTGACCATAATGAGAAGTTTTCCCAGCAACCATTGTAAATACTGAAAGATTGTGTGATATGGATACAATTTGAATCTAGCAACTGCGAGAGTAATGGTAAAGGTGTATTTGGCCTAGACATTTAAAAGTTGGAGGGACACATGGGCTCTAACTACCTGTGCGCATGCATACAGCTTGTTGATTGATTTATTCCATATTTTTTAGCCCATGTGAGCAGAATGCTCAAGTGAGATTTTGCCATCCGTTTTGTTTGAAGGGGGTATACTGGAATCAGCGTGCAGTCGGTTGGGCGGTCGCGCGGTCGGTCGAATCTTGTGTCGTGAACTACTTCCTCAGTTTTTGAACAATTCTAGTGAAATTTGGCACAAATGTTTGCCTTGGGGTGTTGATGAGCAGACACACTATAGGCCCCTGAGCAAATTTACAAACTTTTTTTTCCCCCTTGGGGCACTATGGGGAGGTTGCGAAATTCAGGTGAGCATCTAGTCTACTGGGCTCTTTTTGAGTATTTTTTATTTTATTTTTGCCACATCATATGAGATGGGGATTTGAGGTTTGCAAAACATTAATCACCCTGTTTAAATTACAGTATCTTTTGCCCATAAATAAATTGGTACATGTAGGTGTCCCGATGCCGTGGTTATGTTTCATGAGATAAAGCAAATTCAGGGGAGGGTAGTCATGCAAGCTGCAACCGGAGTGTTGTGCGTTTTAAAGTATTTTTCTTCTTTTCAAACATCTTTCATAGATGTAGGCACAACATGTGACAAACTGTGAAACATGTCTGAAGCGTAGAAGTATATAAGGCTTATATGTTATGTCATTACAGCCCGAAGGTACAACCGCTGGTCAAAGCAGGGAAGCAAGCAGTGCAAGCAGTATTTCTCTGCAGCAATCAAACAAGGGGAACCATTACCAGGTAAGCTTCTTTGTGTTTATGTTTAAGTGCATCTTTAGGCAAAGGGTTGAGAAAAGTTGTAATTTTGTTGTCATTTTAAAGGGCAGGAAACTGGTATAGCATGTATTAGAAGTGTGCATATAATTTATATAAAAATCAGAATATTGTGTTCCAAGAAACTAAGTTCCAGGGATCCCCAGCTTTCAGTTTTGGTAGCTTCCATTTACTAGTTTCAAGGTCTAGTCATTATTATACCCCTGCCAAACGAAGTATATAGGAATCAGCGTGTTGGCAGAAGTTGATGACAGTGGCAGAAAGTGCATTGCCATGGTAATGGCATATTATGACAAACAAAGGGGGGGGGGGGGGGATCTTGCGTCGCGAACTACTCCTTCAGTTTTGAACAATTACGTGATAACTCAAGTATGACTTGATGGAATATCATCAAACTTTGAGTAGGACTTGGCAATTAATAAATTTGATTTTGAGTGACACTGCAATAGCTGGGGGGGGGGGGGGGGGGAGGGGGTTATTCCCCCATCCATCAGATGTTCTTCGTTTACGCGATAATTTGAGTATGACTTGATTGATGTCATTAAACTTGGTGAGACGGTCATGTAGGACATGACAAGTAACTCAGGACTCATTTGATTTCCCCACCCCCATCTCGAACCTCGGCCATACATGTATATCAATGTGTGGCATGTGTGTATACATGGATTATTTGTTTTACAAAAATGCATAGTCAAATTTATTGTTATTCCTATTTGATTATGCACATATGCAACTTTTTTTCCAGGAGTTCTACTTTTTTTCTTCAGTTTCCAGCATTTATGGAGAAAGTGCACTTAATTGACATTAATTGGCTTTTCATGTACTCTGAAAGATAGCTTAGTCAAATTAATAATAAGTATTGAAATTTCATATGAGTTGATAGTGCAAATATGCAAATTTGTTCAATATAATGCAGTGCGTGAGAGGGCAGAGGCATACCAGTCGACTAGTTCCTATTTAATAACCTAAGATAGTATCGATGATGACAAAGGATTTAGAATGTATTGTTCTTATTTCATACCCAGGGAGGAAGGCCTGCACCACTTTCCTGCAAAGACATCAAATCACCATGGAATGGCAGGCGGTAAGAAATAAGGTGATGAACGAAAGGAATAAAGCAAAGAAAAACTTTGATGACAGAGAGAGGAGCTTCCTAAACTAATAATATTAGTTGGGTCAGATCATATGGTCTGATTAACATCTTTTGTTGCCTTTTTTGGCACAATACATGTACCTTCACCTGTATATTCCAGTAGGTATGTGGCTTCTAAATGAATATTCATGAAAGAGCTTGCACAAGGACTCATCCTCGTTTTGTTTCAGTGTCAAGCCTTGTCCTTTATCTGCACATGCGCAACCTGTAACTTGCTCTAATTTGTGATAGAGCTGAATTGATGAAAGTCTAATATGGTGGGCAAAGAGGTCAGTTGAAACATTGGTGTAATGATGATTAATGAGCCTGAATGAAGTTAGTTTATTTCGGTTTTCCCTGCCATTGACTTAGTGTATGTATTTAAAGAAAGTGCTAAATGGTTATATAGTGGACATTTTGTAACCTGGATGTATGCAAGTTAAATGAATATTAAAGGTAATACAAAGTTTTGGGAATATTTCACTAGGGTCGGAGAATAACGTTTAAATTTTCATTATCATTGTAAAACCTTGTGTACGAAAAACCGCCTCTGAATAAATTGGGCTCTAAAACGCTTTGGATTTCGAGATATTCTAATATGAAATTTATCGGTGCTCCCGATAAATTTCAAATAGCGCCTACGGTCATATAACGGTAGCTGCGACCATGAAAATCTCGGAATATGCAGTTCTGATATTAGGTTTCCAAAAGAATAGTCAAGAAACATTGCTTTAAAGCTAAAGTAATATCAATCCGGAGAGGGCGCTATACAACATAAAGAGTTTATTATCTACAATTTCATCACTTTAGACTCGATTACAACAGCGACAACGATCATTGTGTTTTGTTGGATCGTATATATGCTTCCAATATGTACATTTGAACAAAATTCATGACCCCATACCAAAACTTTGTATTACCTTTAAATTTAAATCAGGATCAAATGAAGATGACATGTATCTAATTAATGATGTAATGATGAATACTGCTTTCAGTGCATGATGAAGGTTTGGACATTAGAAATGATTGGTTGCACACTGTACAGTGAAGTGTAGTTATGCAGTCAAACTTCAAGTTCAATTCAAGTTTATTAGAGTGAACTACATATTATTAGACAAAGGGTATTTATAGTACTTGATAATGATGTCAGTTTGAGCACAATCCCTTTTCGAAGTGTTTTTGAAGAGCATCAACTTGATTCCACAAGCACAGATATTACAAAGACACTTAGATGTCATTTTACTATCTAATCTTGCATATATATGGATTGCACGTTTGCATCTAGTTGAACTTTTGTTATTGTTATTCCTGTTATTGGAATATTTTACAGCATTGCCTTTTATATGGTGTACATATTTGGCTACATCAGTGTTCTTTGTGACAAGAGTAAATAATGCTAATTTGCTCATTTAGTGCTATAATAATTACATGTGTTAATGTTTTTATTCATGAGAAATGTAGGAAAAGTATAACGATTACATTCTGACCCACTAGGTTGTAGTGTTGCATAACATTGGGCACTGTCCCTATTCATCCCAGAATAGACATCGAAATATGAAAATGACTACATCGGGATTAATTTCAGAACCGAAGATCTCCACATGTATGTTCTTTCTTTTGCTTTCATTTGTGAGGACCCAGACCAAAAATGAGATGACTTCCTTTACTAGATTCAAAAGATACAGGCAAAGTTTTGACCACATCTTAATTTTACACCTTTTTTGAGAAGCTCTGTTTTCGTTCATGCACGAGTGGTTATTCATTGGTTCATGTCAAGTTAGTCATGGTTGGGTAGAGTATGTATGTTCCAATTATATGTAGAATTTCAAGGTTAAGCATTATTAGTTTTATAAATATTTTAGAAATATAAAACTACTACTGCTACTACTACTACTACTTCTACTACTACTACTACTACTACTACTACTACTACTACTACTACTAGTCTTGTATTACTACAACTACTACTAGTAGTACTACAGTACTACTACTGCTGCTGCCACTGCTGCTACTACTGCTACTACTACTACTACTACTACTACTACTACTACTACTACATTGGAACCTCTTTATAACGAGGTCCTTGGGACCATGAAAATTACCTAATGTTATATCAGGTTTCTCATTATATCAGTGTAAAAAACCAAAGAAATATAAAGAGCTGGGACCAGCAAAATTACCTCGTTATAAGAGGATTTTGTTATATCCGATATCGTTATAACGAGGTTCCACTGTACTACTACTACTACTGCTACTGCTGCTACTACTACTACCACTACTACTACTACTACTACTACTACTACTACCACTACCAAGGAGGTTTACTACCAAAACCACCACCACACTACTTTGTTCTATCTCTCTCCCCTTCCTCCCTCCCTTTCCCTATTTCCAATTTTCTGTCTCTTTCTTGCCATTTCTTTATTTTCTTGCCTGATGATGTGATACACTGAAATATTTTCTTGTATTGTCTGTGCAATTTAAATTGTTTCTTTAATATTCAATGTGACTATTAATTTAATATTTTGCATTGAGATCTCTCCCATTTATATAATATATGTATTCTACTTCATGCTTATTTATAATTTTGAACATGTGCCCAATTTTTATTGCTTGATTTTAGACTTGCTCAATTAATCCATGGTTTACCTTTGTAATAAATTCCTTGCTAATAAAATAACTAAATAGTTCCCGCGTTTTGTTTTTGCTTTTGAATGTGACCTTTTGTGGATGACCAGTTGAAGATGTGAATGCATATTTTGATTGAGTTTGTGTCCATCATATACACATGTCTGTGAGATTCGTTGTGTCTGGTTCGTTTTGTTTGGCTTGTGCTAAACGGTCGGGTCGCGTTCGGGTTCCTTTTTTGAAAGTTAGCATATGGTGTCTTCACATGCAAGATTCTTTTTCCTTTTCATATTTTTCTTATAGTATACAAATCCATTCATATGACATTGATAATGATATTATGATTTATAAAGAGGATAGTTATAATTATGATAATGGGATGAAGATGGTAAAAACTGTTGCGCACCTGTTGCGCCCTGGATCCGCCACTGCATGTCATATCGAGTATTAACAAAAACAAAGGACATGTGCGAATATACCTCCACACAAGAAAAAAATGATAAAAAAAACATTAATAATAACATAGACAAAATAATCGATAAACTTGTACTTCAAGGAAACACAAATATGTCTCCATTGAGTGGGTGTTTCCTAGAAGTAATGCATGTCTTCAAAGACCCAGGAAGTTTCCAGTTTGTGGAATTAAATCAAATAACAAAAATAATAATGATGATGATAATATTTCTATAGATCTGACATTTGGGAGACATTTTGGTGTTATTATACCTACTTATAGGAGACACCCACATGAAGGAGACATTTTCGTGTTAATAAACAAGAATTTATAACAATGTTAATAGAAATGATAATAATGATAATAGTTATTATAATTATAACGATAATAGTAATTTAATATAGACTAAGCCTATGTGCAATCCTTATAACCCTTTAGGCTTGTATGAAGACTAATAGTATGTTCAAAAATCTATAAAGCAAAACATACATTTTAATTATGTTACATTTATATATATATATACATATATGTGTGCATGCTCAGTATCACTATCATTAGGAGACATGTCTCCCAATAGTATGAGAAAGACAAAATGTCTCCCTTTTGTTGCTCAGATAGTAATGAAACGTAAAGGAGACATAAATTACGACGGTATATCTTTTACCGAAAAAGTGTGTCTTTGAGGGTAAAAAGTAATTAAGTAATTGAAAGACTCTGGTTTGAAGATCTTTTCTGCGAAATAAAAACGAAAGTTTGTATGCTTGTTTTAACTTTATGGTACCATTTTGCCACTGTCTCCAAAATATTGATTTTTATCACATGTCTTCCGTATGTGCAATCCATAGTTATATATATATATATATATATATATATATATATAAACTAACAATTTAACATTGATAATCCTCCATCACGGCGATATAAAAATAATAATTCAAACAATTGAAATAGAAATCCTTGACAGACTTCTCTTTAATATTGTGAACAATAAAAAAAATATTAGGAAAGATTGGAGCGCTTCAGGAAAAAAATGTCTTCCTTACAAATTGAGCTACTAATTTCCCTGAGTTTATCGTCCTTCAACCTCAGCAGGGGATGTGCTTTCTGTCATCTCTCCAACAGAAAAAGCATTAATAATGAATTAAAATATAAGCTGTACAATTCAAATATACATATGTATAAACATTCATGATTCATGTTGCACATTAAGTTGGAATATTTTTTTGTTCCCGCATTTCATGAATAAGAACAAGTTGTGTGCAACTTTATGGCAACATTTTAATGCATTGATATGAGAAGCAAATTTTGGAGTACATAAATGAGATATATAATGAATCATTGAAGTTACCAAAAATATTTTTTCCTTAAATATTGTGAAAAATATAAATGATGAGAAGGAATAGATCATTTCAGGAAAAAAATGTTTTCTTTACATATTTCGAGCGACTAAATTGTCCGAGTTTAACATCCTTTACGAAAAGGCACATTTTTTCAGGTATAACAGGACCCCGTGGATGGTTTAGCTATAAGCAGTATTCCGGAGTCCAATAGTACTGTGGATACTTCAATATTCCAAGTGCATCATTCTTAGCTTCCTCGTTTTCATTGGTCTCCCCAAGCTGATTGATTCATAATAGTGTTGTACTGCGGAATACTGCTTATAGCTAAACCATCCACGGGGTCCTGTTATACATGAACAATTTCTTCAGTTTTCCCCAAAATCATTTATAATCTCGAACTGCTGGATTTCCAACGGACACACTATTTACGTGGCCTTGATTTTGTCATTTGTGATTTAATAACATACCTTAATAAACTGTTATTACTCGTTTACAACCTAGATTCATGTACTACACACTCATATACCAGGTGTTGTTTCAATGTCGGTCTTAGACATTTCTCTGCAGCACAATATGACTTTCATACTGCGGAATATTTTTTCCAATCATGCCCGGGTCCTCGTATTCATGTATTGCTTCATATTCAGTCTCAGGTTGTACATGAGGCCCACTTTTTGTCAGGTCCTGGTATTCGTGTGTGATTTCATAGTCGGTCTCAAGGTGTACTTGAAGCGTATGCAAAGTATTATCATACTCTGGACCAGCTTGTCCATTGGTCCCATTGATAGGTACCTCATATCCGTCTCCCTGGGAATTTACCTCTCGTAATGGTTCGTATACTTGTAATGTAGGGCCATCATGGGGAGTCGTAAGAGCAATGTATGGATCATTCCCACCTTGACAATCCGCAACATCCGATATCGGGTTATCTCTCATTCCAGGACTCTCCCCTGAGTCTCCAAAGGCGGCGATACCTTGATTAGTACCATGCTTGAGCCTTTTAATGATATACAAATATTGTTAAATTTCTATCAGAACTGATGAAATGAATGGTACGATGCTGTAACTATAAGCCATTATTCAAAGAGCTCACAAGACCAACGGCCAATAAGAGAAATATTTTTT